ATTTTAAAATGTATTTAATGTGTTTGTAATGTTGTTATTGTATTTTTATGTGTAATTTTATATGTTTTGTCTTTTTTTTAAGGGGGAGATAATGTGGTGTATATGTGGGTATGCTTATAATAATGTACCGTCTGAATGACACATAATAAATCAGTCCAGTACCAACCGCCGTTTGATTAACACACCTACATTACAATTTTAATGAAAACAAATCAAATATCTCCAAATTAGTTAAAAAATGTTCATAAATAATTATGGCCAACCTCCCCATACAACGCGAAACACTGCGTCACTTCGCTATTTTGGCGGGTTCAGGTGGCCGCTTACTCGTCTACCAACTTACGATATAAATTGCGAAAATTTAGATGGATGGATGTTTGTTACAGTACTCAATAAAATTTGGCTTAAATGTATATTTTTGGAAAATCACATAGGCTACTTTGATTTTTTAAATTCCACTTGGACGGAGTATATAAAAAAACAATAAAATAAAACACAGATTTTCTTCCAATATTTTTATTTCTCAAAACATATGATCTGCATAAAATATATAATGTATTTAACTTTTTCATAAGATATGAAGTTTCAGAAATCTAACTACAATATTGCTTTCCACTTATACGATTTGCGCCTTCATACATTTTGTAGGTAATTTATTTAAAACTTTTATAAATACTTAGGTCATTCTGACTGCGTCTGTATCACATTTATGCAATAAAATAACTTTCAAGTCCTAAGTTACAGGATCAAACAGAAACTAAAGAATATTTTCCATAATGTACACAGTAGTTTCTAAGTATTCAAACCAAAGTAAATCATTGCAACTTAACTACACAACCTTTCAACTTGAAGTTAACTTTGTTAGCGGCCATTCCGAGCGCAAATCATTAATTGTTAAAATCATTGACGTATAAGGTTTTTGGTAACACTTCAAAAAAAAGGAAAATAAACTAAATCGAGACATGAGATATCGAATTTAATTCTTTTTTTATCAAATAGTTAGACAATTAGATAAATGGAAGAAATGGCAGAAATAAATTCTCAATCAACTAAACAATTTGTTAAACTAATAATAATTTAAGTTAAATTCGAAACCCATGACTATTGAATATAGGTTTTTACGAAACATGTTTTACAACAAGTTGTTAAACATGTTTTTATACAACCCAACATTAACATATAATTTTAAACAATTGATTCTATTTTTTACGAATTCCATAAAGTTATTAAGTTAATGCATGTTGAAATATTTATTCAACTTAAACTAAAAGTTTCGGGTTCCAATTTTACATGTTTCAGACAAATTTGTACTTTTACTAATTTGATTTTAAAAAATAATTACCACTTGAGGCGCTAAAAGGCTTAATGTTGTACAATAACACTAACGCCTTCACAACTTGAATGCATTGCTAACTTGTAAGCAGGATGTAACACTCTCCGCTAAGTACGATCTAAGTTATATAAGTTTCTGTCATTATTTTTTGGGAAAACACAAAATTACTTCATACAGAATATAATAAACAATCAACTTTCTCAAGTTACTGCTAAGTATTCTAACTGTTAAGTTAACGTTAACAAAAGTTAAATTTTAGTTTTCAAATTTTACAATCCATAATTAATAAGGATAATGTTTAAATAAATTTGCAAAAAAAAAACAATTTAAATCAAAATTATATTGATAAATTCAAATATTAATTAAAAAAAAATGGTTGATGTAACATTTAAAACAACCTATATCGAAATATTAACTGAAATTAACTAACACAAGAGATATCTCTTGTTTAACAAAAATATTTACATTCGTATTGTAATTCCTACTTACAAGAGCAAACATCAACTGAATATGAAATAATATATTGTTACACTTATTTGTATGTATTGAGGCGAGGTGTCCGCACGCACCCAGCGTCATACTGGACGGCGCATATTCCTGTAAAAATAACAAAAAAAATGTTCAAGGAGTTTTAAAAAGTTAGAAAAAAGGAAAATTCAAATTATTTGTCAAATAATTTTACCAATACACATATATCTGTAAAACTTAATTTTAAACCTTTTATGCTCTACACAAATAATTAAAACGGTTTAATTCATGATCGATGCGGTATCAGCACCGACTAGAGTCGGTGTCTATATGTGAACGGACACCGACTTTCTCGCAAAGTAGTCGGTGCCGTCACTAAATGATGATGCATGAGTTAACTGTTATTGATTAGTTTCTGATAATTTTAACAATAATTTAAGGGCCTGTCCCACCAAACTGTAAATTGCCTGATAACAATCCAACGTGTAAAATATATGATGAAAATATCGGATTTTGTTACCGTATCTGACAGTGACGTCATTTTCAAGCTATCTGAGCCTCTATCAGCCAGTGGTGGGACAGGCTCTAAATATTAAAAAAAAACAACCGACATTCTTACTGTGAAGGAAAACATCAAACGAGGGTATAAAGTCGCGCATTGCAGTTGACTATGGCCTAGTCATCCCTAACTTAGAGTAGACTCCTTGGGGAGTCACCTTGGGGTGAGGACGTCTACTGGTGATGAACAATGCTCAATATACCCGTGCTATGCCGGCTGCGGCGCTGCAGGTGGTGAAGCCAGCAGTCCAGCGGCGCCCGGTGCTGACGCGGGAGCTGGCACGGGCTCCTTGCCCGGCTGGCGGTTCTGTCTGTCCCGTTTCAACTTCTCTCCGCTCATTATCGCCTTGATGTCATCCGCGTCTAAAGTCTCGTATCTATATTGCAAATTTATACTTCAATATGAAGAAATTTCTCATCAAAATACTATCAAATAGCTGTTACTGTGACTTCGCCCGCGTTTTTTTAAATAACAATAATAAAATAACAAAAAAACATAGTCCATGTTACTCGCAGATAAATTAACTTTCTAACGGTGAATTTTTAAAATCGTCCCAGTAGTTTTCGAGTTATTCCAATACAGACAAAAATACAAATCCAGTGAAGAGTCTGAGTCACTGTGTCAACGCAGTGTTGTTTGCCTCCCCTCCCCTTCTAGTTTTATTGTAGAAGAGTAAGAATATTACTTGAGTAAAGCATCAGAAAGCGCCTTATGTTCCTTAGCGTGTGCGCGCAGAATCGCCTTCGCGCGCTCGTAGCTCTCCGACAACAGCTTCTTTATCTCCCCGTCCACCTGCAAATGTATAACAATAAAACATTTATATAAAAAATCAGCGAAGCATAGGAACTGCATAATTAAATTAAATTATCCAATTTAATAAAATTAAGACTGATAGTAACATTTGAAATAGCGCCATCTATTGTTGAGTTTTAAAACTAATATTGCAACGTTTTCAATTTGATTTGAATTAATCGGAAAACGACGACAAAGAAATTAACAATAAATAAATTACGAATGAAATCTGAACTCGTACTAACTTTAACGACTTTTTAAAAAATTATTTTTCACTGCCATTTTGTGCAAACATAACATACTCTAGGGCATTCCATACCGTAATTATTAGTGAGGAAAAAAGAAAATTGTGTAAGATGGTGCACCGTACCAGCTCGTTGGTGTAGGGGCCGATGGTCTCCGCGGGGGCGAGGGCGCCGCGCGGGGGCTCCAGCGCGCGCAGCCCCACCTTCTCGCTCATGCCCCACTCGCGCACCATGTGGCACGCGATCGACGTCGCCTGCTTCAGGTCTGACGACCCCCCTGGACACACGGTGTCATACATTCTTACTCTAATTAAAACTATAAATGCAAAAATTTAAATGGATGGATGTTAATTACAATTTGTAGCGTAAACCGCTGAATAGATCTGGATGAAATTCGTCATAGATTTAGAGAACAGTCTGGAAGAACACATAAGATACTTTTAATTCCACGCGGACAGAGTCGCGGGCGAAAGCTATTAATAAATAGGATGTTCCCGCGCGACTTCATCTATATTAAATTATAAAACTACATGCTGACTAAATTTGGAAAACCCATAATAGTTAATGGCAATCTTGCTTCTTTGCTATAAGCTTATATTTGTCTATTTCTCGAAGAGCATTTTTCCTAATTTACCTACCCCCTAAGCGTAAAAATATACAGCCTAATACATATAAGTGCAGGGCTTTCATTGAAAACAGGATAATCCAAAAATATGCTGTGATTGCTGACATCCTGCAGTGTTTACTTTATTATAAGTATAGAGGTATAGTTTTTATATGGTAAAAAGTGGCTTACCCGATGTGATCTTGTCAGGTCCGAAGACGAGCTCTTCAGCAGCACGTCCCCCCATCATGGTGTCCATCATCGCCAGCAGCTGCTGCTTCGTCACGTGATATCTGCACAGTATCAATAACTTTGTAACAGAGCCAATCCAGGCCAAAATTCCGATATTGCAGGAGACGCAAGTAAATAAGATATTTCCCCTTCCTATACGTCTCCACAGTCAAATCCTTCCCATTTATCCTCTTAAAAAGGGTGGAAGGACAAGGGATTACCTTTCCTTAGCGGGTATGTACGCGGTGTGTCCGAGCGAGGGCCCGCGAGGTATTATCGTCACCTTGTGCAGCGGGTGCGCGTCCTGGAACAAATACACTCTAACTATAAAACCTATACTAATATAACAAAGCGTAAACATATATTTTGTTATGTAAGATATCAGCAATCTTAGCATATTTTTTACAAATTCTTTCGTTGTCATTTGCAAACTTTATTTTTTTTTTATATCATTTAGATTAAGCCGTTAACAGCTATTGTTACTAATATTATAAATGCGAAAGATTAGATGAATGGGTGTCTTATAACTTGTAACCTAAATTTAGTGACATCTATTGGTAATTTATTTAAATACAACTAATTATATCGACATGCGAGTTTTCAGGACCTAATCAATAGATGGCGCTAGTCAGTCACGTAAGGTGACTCAAATGTCAACTATGCTTTGTGTATATGTGTTTTTTAGTGTTTTTGTGTTTGTGTGATATGTGAGGTGCACCTTGGTGTAGTAAGCGACGACGGCGTGGCCGCCCTCGTGGCAGGCGGTGATGGCGTTGGCCTCGTCGTCGGGCAGCCGCGAGCGGCGCGCGGGGCCCATCAGCAGCTTGTCGCGCGCCTCCTCCAGGTGCCCCATCGACACTGTTTGCGCGCCTTCCACCGCCGCCCTGCGACACAATACATTACAGTCAAAAACTATTTTGTGTGTATTTATTATAGCTCGCAACTTTGTCCGAGTCAAATTTAAAAAATGAGAAAAAAACATAGCCTATGTTATGAAGCGATAACGTAGCTTTTTATAACAATACTTTCATATAAGGAGAAAAAAAATTGTATTTATATTTTTGAGTTATTTCACACATAAAAATATTTGAAATAACTCAAAAACTCCGATTTCAAAAATTCTTTCACCAATATATACGTTATCACTGAGTAACATAGACTATGTTCAAAAACAAAATAATTTCACGTGGAACAGCTACTTTGCAACATAATGTCCAGTTCACACTTGGTCAGTACAGTTGCACCGAGCAGCCATAGATTGTACACTCACTGTGCCAGTTGAATGTCAGTCCAGTCTTCCAGCGCTAACTGTACTGACCAATTGTGAAGGGTGCATAGTTATGTCATGTTAGTATACTTGAGCGCGGCCTGGTTGACCATGCTCTCGAGGTCTGCGCCGGTGAAGCCGGTGGTGCCGCGCGCCAGCGCCTCCACGTCCACCTCGGGCTGCGCCGCCACGCGCGCCACGTACAGCCGCAGGATCTCCACGCGCCCGCCGTAGTCGGGGGTCGGCACGGACACCTGCGGACAACACACTACATTACTACTTACTAAACTTACTAATGTTTAGCGAAACTTTAGTTGGATCGATGTAGAGAATAGTATGGAAGAACACTTTTTTTTTTATTTCTACGTTGATTAAGTCGCTAGCGAAAGCTAATCTATATTTAAACTAAAAAGCATAAACACACACACACTATTTAGTTACATAGAATGTCATCAATTTCAGTATATTTTTGAATAATTATTTCTTTAATAAAAATCCCTACACTTACGACACGTTTTATGCTATAAATTTTCGCGCTATGAAAATAAAGGTATAATTACTTTGGAAAAAACCCTTATGTGGGAAAAGGGCTATAACTACAAGCTAACATCTAAGAGACAGGGTTGCCATGGTAACGGTATTTGTCATCTATTGTTAAACACCTTCTTTGTCATTTGTGCATTTGATTTTGACATTTTCAATTGGAAATTACACAAATGTAAATAATTAAATAAACTTTTTATAATTTCGTGCGGATTAAGCCGCATGGGAACAGCTCGTAGGTGATAAAATTGCAGTGTTTGTATGAAAAAAAAATCATATTTCACAAATTGGAACCATTTCTACGTGTATTTGAACTGAAACGTTGTTTTTATGGCTCTAAATTGTAATTATTTACTGATTGACCTCAACGTCGAAGCGGCCAGGGCGCAGTAACGCCTGGTCCAGGTCGTCGCGGCGGTTGGTAGCGCCCAGCACTATCACACCCTCGTTCTGGTGGAAACCATCCATCTCCGATAACAGCTGGTTGATAGTCTGCAACAAATTAAAAATAAAAACAGTTATTTTAGAAACCTCAAGCTTAGTGATGATAATGTCTCTGTACCATTGGTTGATTCATCGGATTCTGCAACCGGTGGTGGTCTGTTTCGTGCATTTTTATTTTATTTTTTATCATGTAACTTATATATTATATACTAAATAAGAAAATAAAGATATGAGATAATAAAAGAACTAACATTTTCAGTGTCAATACAGTTTATACAAGATGATAGTGAAAGGATCAAAAGTTTTGTGAAGGTAGAAGACCTAAATAGCTATAAAATTAGCCTAAAACATGATTCTAGATTTTTTGTAGTTCTAAAGTTATTTCATTTTCTGTAAAAAGAATCATAAAAACCTAATTTTGGATTTAATTTAACCCGTGATTGAAGTTTACCCCACAATGCAAGTAGCATTGCTTTAATAGACGGAGATTCACGGTATGGGGATATTTCCTCTTCCCATGTCCCCTTCTCTGCATATGTTCTGAAATTAGCTTAAATGGCCATCAGACCTGGTTGGCGTACGGATGCAGCACGCTGTTGGTCCTCTTGGCGCCGACAGAGTCGATCTCGTCAATAAATATAACGCAAGGTGCACGTTCTTTTGCCGCTTCTGGAAATAATGTAAAATAATTACTATTATTAACAAGTCCACTGTAGACTTATACAAAAAAAACAATTGTAGAATATTTGTAAATGCGAATGTCTATGGTCAGCAGTAGTGTCGCTATTTTGGCGAATTCATATGGTTGACCGACTACAAAGAATATTGCACGCTAGATGGCAGAGTCGTTTATTTTATTTAAATTAATATAGATGGCGCTAGCAATTCTGGTTATCTTTAACATAAGCTATATCCAGCAATAACCTGATAAAATCTTAAAAGGGTATTTAAACACATGTATTGACTCACTGAACAAATCCCGGACCCTCCTCGCGCCTTGCCCGACCAGTATCTCATCGAACTCCGGGCCCGCTGCGTGGAAGAAGGGCACACGAGCCTCGCCTGCCACCGCACGCGCCAGTAGGGTCTTCCCCGTGCCCGGCGGACCCACCAGCAACACACCCTTCGGCAGTTTACCCCCTAGGGAAGAGAACTTCTCTGGAGACTTTAGGAATTCCACCTGAAAATTCACAACTGTACGTTAAACAAATAAACCTTACTAATATGATAAATGGATGGATGGATGTTTGTTAGAGATTGTAGCCTAAACGGCTAAACGGATCTGGATGAAATTTTGCACACATGTAGAGTAGTCTGGAAGAACACATAGGCTACTTGTATTTTTTTTTAACTTAGACAGAGTCGCGGGCGAAAGCTAATAAAAAAATAAATTCGCTTACAATTAGACTTTTCTGGAAGATAAGATATTTAGATCACAAAAATACCCTTTTGTACTAATATTATAAAAAGGAAGGATTTGCATTTTTATAACTCAAAAACTACTGAGCTGATTTCAAAAATTCTTTCACAATAAAAAATTTATGTTATCACCGAGTAACATAGGCTATATTTTATATTACTATTTATTTTCACGCGGGCGAAATCACGAGCAAAAGCTAGTCTGTTAAGTATAATTTTAAAATAATTGAACTGACCACATCCTTGAGCTCCTGCTTGGCCTCGTCAGCACCCTTGACGTCATCGAAGGTGACATTGATGTCCTCGGGGTCCACCTCCACCTGGTTGCCGAGCTGGATCCTGCGCATGTTAGTCACATTCCTGCTGATTATATTATTACAAAATGTAGCCCAAACTGTTAAATACCAGATCAATAATCAATTTTATAAGCCTTTATACTACATTTACAAGCTAAATTATTATTACAATTATTGTGAGTATGGCAAAACTTACGACGGAATACTGAAACTAAATTTTATATTACTCCATACTTAAACTGTAAAATTAAACAACATTTTGACACTTGTCACATTGTAAACAGCACTTATGTAACAAACTGTTCGAGATTCATTTCAGAATTCGGTTGTTAAGTGTTAAAAATCTACAAAACATTATTTTGTTAGAAGCTATTAAAATAGTTGATGTATACCGGAATACAGTGCCACTAACGGAGGCCATGAGGCTGACGAAGATGGCAAGGAACAGCACAATGGTGAGCAACTGCTGCACCAGCTTCAGGTACTTGGAGCCTTTGGAAGTGCGAGCATTCTCCGGGTGAGAGCCTGGAATAACACCATCACTAATATGTAAAAAATGGATGTTACATAAAAACAATAGATCAGGGCTATCAATAGCTTTACAAATAACTAGATTGGTTCAGTTTTATGTGAGATTAAAGATGTCATTTAAAACCTGTACAAAATCCATATTTCTTTTTTATATAACATAAGGTGGCAATCAAGCAAGCGGACACCTGAATCCGCCAAAATGGCGAAGCGACCGCTGCCCATAGACATCGGCAATTGCAGATGCGTTGCCTAACCTTATCCGACGAAGGAGGAGACGCACATAATGAGGATATTTCCCCTTCCTATGCATCTCCTCCACCGTCAAATCCACTTCCTCTTCCCATCCTTTTCTTATAAGAAACGGGTGGTAAAGGGATTAAATTAGGCCTTCGGCACCACACTCATCAGACGAAACACGGAATTGCTTCCATTTCATTCCTGTTTTCTGTGTGGTCGTGGTATTACACTAGTCGTGCCGGCCCATTTGTGCTAAGATGTTAAAACTGGCACTACCACTTTTCAATAATACCCCTAAAGCTCAGAATTTATGTGTGTAAATCAGATCTGAACTGTTTGGAATCTTCAGCTGAGCCATAAAACCATTGAGCTGCACCTCAACAACTAAAATGGTGTAAAGTCACATATTGAACTATAATTATTTGAGCTGATGAACTGCTAGCAGCCTTATGACTCACAGATCTTTCTAAATGCATGTCACAACTATGCCGATACAAATATGAGCTAAGCTGTAAGCACTGATCTGCTACACATGTATGAACAATGATTGGTAGATCATCAATTTCAATCAAGTTCTGTTAAGGTGATGGATATATACCTGCAAGATATCCTTCAGCAAATGCAATCTTAATCTTATCCTTCTGATGACTAGTGAGAAGCTGGTCTTCGGTAAGGAGCTTCTCCAAGCGTGGTGCTACCTCTGGCCCCATGTTGCTTTGCTGCTGTTTCTCTGTACCTTCACTGACATTTAGTCCTAATTGTTTACAAAAATATCTTATTAAGGTACAGTTTTAGGCTTATTTCTTTATAAATATGGCAGACTAAGGTAATAAGTAAACTGCATACTTTTATGCCTAACAGCTTGCACAGTATTTATAGCTAAGATATCTAACTGCTGTACCTGTATGTAATATATGTTGTTTATAAAGACTGGCGTTCTCTCGTGTCAGAGACCCACTTTGGGTTGCTGCGCTATTGCAGTAAGTATAAAGACAGGGCAAAAGTAAAAATATTTACTTTTTAGTTATTCCTCCTAAGTTATCATGTTGAATGTCACATATTAATAAAACTTACTAAGCAAAGTAGCATTGAATAAGATAAAACATTAAGCTTAAGCTAAGACTTTCTTTATTTGCTTTAGCTTTTGATATTTACTTAATTATCTTCCAATAATGGAAATTACTTAATTATGACCTAAAGTGAATCTTTCAGTCAATTTATTATATGAATGTACAGTTTATGTAAAATGTATGTTGTTACTAACAACAACTAACACTGCAGAAAAATTGCTAATAATACTGACCGAATAACTTACGCAGTCTATTGATGAGGTTGGGATTCCTTTTCAAGTCTGCATGGATACTACGCTCCGTTTTAAAATTGCGGACCTGTATTTTGTATCTGAACACATCATCATGTATTCCATTCGCAAACAGTCCAATAAAGTTTTCGGTGAATGTCAATCTCGGACTTTTACCGCGAAAATCGACGGTTACAGTTGGAACATGGGGTACATTCGTCCAACCATTTTTGTTTTTCTCAAATGATTGTCCTGATATATGAGAAATTTTTTTTGCGGAGCTCAACTGTACGAAGCTTTTAACGGAATTTTTACAAGGTGTAGAAACTGTTCTAAGAGATCTTAAGTTAATTTTACCCATGTCTTTTAAAACATTTTTATCAAAATTGTTTACTGCTTCTTCTAAACTTTCAGGACATAATGCAGCTTTGTAGAACCCAGGAGCGGCTTCTGTGCTTTTCACATGTTTATTTTTACTGTTATTGTGCTTCTTTTGCTTGAATATACATGAATAACGAGACGACAGCTGACTAAAGCTAATAAGAATCTGCAACAACAAAGGTTATGACAAACAAATTTTATATCTATGTTTTACGCGATTTAAGCAAATTTATGTTAAACTGTACCTGGTTTTGGGTGTTAATGGAATTCAATGAAAACATGTTACATGTAGATAGTTATTATTTCCCTTTTTTTGAAGTGCACTCCAAAATTTTGTAAGTATAGGCTTTTCTTACGTCAGTTCATAGCAAAACATGGCGAACTTCTCAATTTTTATGACCTCTTTGGGTAATTTGAAATATTACAATGAACCTAGATAATTAAGTTACAGGTAAAGAAGCTTATAATTTTAAAACAGAAAATGTGGTCTTAGTTTTAACTTTGGAGAAATAAGTTTTTTTTAATGAAGTGCGAGATTCATTTCTAGTTCCAGGGGACTCCTGTCAAAAAATTTTGAACGCATTAATTGTTAGTGGTTCTTTCTATATTGTCAATGGTTTATTTGGACAGTAAATTCCAAAATGGCGACGAGCGATGACGAGCCTATGCATTTATATGAAGTTTTTCAAAACTGTTTTAATAAAATAGCAAATAAACAACAAGGTGAGTGAAAAAATGCATACCGAGGCCCGTCTCGCGTTCCTCAAACAAAGTGTCGCGATATGGTGAAGTGTTTCAGTGTGAAATTCGATCAAAGTGTTCGCGTGTTATGCCATTTTCAGTGTCTAAACCGAATAATAATCTCGCGAAAAGCATTCGAATAAAAGCATTTTCCCATTCAATAACCATTCAGTATCGTTACTGGATCACTAATGTATGTGTTAGAATCGCCAAGCCTTCCTTATCTTGATTGCAAGGGCTTCAAAAGGCTATGTTTTGATCACACAGTCGATTGTCAAATGTGCTCTCCATTGTGATACGATTTTGGTCTCGAAGCTGAATTGTTTCAGGATTTGTTTACATTCACTCACTCTCTATCGCTGAAACCAGGTAAAGTTATAACCGTGCAAAGCTGAGGAAATTTTGCGCCAAAACTACCAAACAACATTGACTATACGGGATGGACCCATTGCATTTTTTGTCCATTTCGCTGGATGGGGCATAACAAACTAAGTTGTGCTCAATTTATCCTCGCGTTGTCCGTTTTAGATCGCGAATTGCCGTTTTTATGTTCTCTTCACGCTGAATGTTTACAATGTAATTTGTTTATTTACGCGAGTACGGCGCGTACGTCGCACGGAGCCGATGTAGCGCCTTATGGTATCGGCTGTTAATACTTATAGACGCCAAACTTTTTTATATACTTACCAAAGGACATAATATATAATTAAAATATGCAATTTATAATTTCATTACTTACTTATGTTTGAAATTATGTAATTATTTACTTACATCAATAGAATTTGTCTAATTCCCTATTACAATGAATATTTATTTATCTGATAAGTACACTCATATAAGAAAAAGTTATTGATTGTACTGAAAAAAAAAAAAACACTTAGATGTAATTAGATTGTGGGTAGACTGTATTTGTTATTGACAAAATGTAACATAGTCAATTACTAAATATAAACTGAATATTTAAATTAGTGTAATATTACAATTATTCCTAAAAAAATCTAAGTTTTAGTTAAAATTAAATTTATATGTTTGTTTACTATACTATTTCCTACTTGGTAAAAATACTTGCAAAGTAGATAAATAATTTTTGAGTCAATAAACATAATAGTTATTGTGCCAACTTAAGATTTTTTATTGGCATAGATGTCTACTTATTGAAGAAATCTACCCTCATATATACTCTTGTTGTCTTATTACTTGCTAGCCACATACATACATACTTTGCATCTATGACAGATACTTATAGGGACCACAGACTTTTACTCACCCATCTCAATTCTTGGATGTCAGTCTAGAATAACCCCAACCAAGATTGCCACCAACTTTTGTATCAATCTCCTTTGTTTATCGCAGTACTGATCAGAAAATGACAATTAAAGTACATATGCTTTTGATATTAGCATGTTATTATTTAGATCAAGGATTCATATTGATTGACACAATGGATCTGCAGTTAGTCCGCACTCATTAGTCTGTCAGTGGACCTTTTGATTGTACATGTCACAGTAATTCATTTTCAATTGCACGGAATTATTTAATTATGCCTTCAGGCAACTTCAGGTGGAAAATGTATCTAGAATTATGTACAATTTGATTTGAATCAATAGTTTATTTTGTAGTTTTTTTAATAGATTTTACCTTTGTATTAGTCTCAACAATCTTGCTAAAATTGTGACTAAACATGTGACAAAAAATCTCATACGTGTTATCAGATGGATTTTTAATTTCGTTTTATTTAATTACTATTAGATTGGTAGGTTATTATGGTTCTGGGAGATTTTCACATAACTGTCCCCCCTCCGGGGATGGCAGTATGCATAAAGCATTCCCCTCGAGGGAAAAAAGAGTTGTATGTTAAAAAGTTATTATGGTTCTAGTATGTATTTTTAAATTACTAGTTGTAACATAAAGACATGTGCTGCCATAAAATAACTATGTCATTGACTTGTCTCAATGTGAATATTTTATTACATTTACAGTCATATTAAAGTTTTTTTATTTGCTACGTCCATGGGACACTGAGTAAAATTAACCATGACTAAATCAATGTTGTTTCTTTATTGTGTTTTTATATAGTGCCACTTGTGCAAACTGTTTAAATGCATCATTTGTACATAGCTAGGTATATCCAGAATATTTTAGGTATACACTTGTTTCATTTTATTTAAAACGATTTTTTGTAATCTATACTCTATAGTTACTCTATACTATTATAATAAAGCGTAAACACACACTTCTTTGTTGCCTAAGATGTCAGCAATTATAGCATATTTTTGAAAAAAATTTTTTGTAATAAAAAGCCTTACACTTACGTCATGGTTTAGGCTATATATTTTCACGCCATAAAACATAGGGGGTTAATATTTTGGACAAAAACCCCAATGTGGGAAAGAGACCATAAGTTTCTGCCAACATCAAGAAAGCAAAATTGCCATAGTAAGGTAATTGGTATTTTGACATTTGCAATTGATTATTTGACACATGTAAACAATAAAATAACATTTTCATAAGTTTATGCGGATGAAGTCGCAGGGGAACAGCTAGTACTAAATACGTATGGATTAATTTGCAACTATACATTGGTTAACTCTCTGTGTAAATTACATACTTCTATACAGTTTTTAAAACGCCTTATAAGCAAGCTCAATTAAACACGAAGTAGCATAAACTCTAAAAAATTAAAAAAAAAATTAAATTAGATTTTCTGTGCAATGTTGTTAAAGTTTTGTTACATTTAACTTTACTCTTAAGGACCCAAACTCGATGTCCAGGTAGCTGGCAACGACCGTGGTTCATAACAAGCGATGCAGCGCGGTTTTGTTTACCGCCGCTGACTCTAAGCTATTTCGGAGCGCGCAATATTTGTAATATGACTCAAATGATCCCCCAAGTGATACACTTCCTGAACCACTTTATGTTACGATCATTTCGTGGAGGATGTACACTTTTTTTTTTCAGATAAATTAAAAGAAAAGTTCATGTAACAACTTCTTTTTCATTGTAAAGATTTTAAAATAACGTTCGAAAAAATATACATTGATAACAATACGTAAAATTTATTTTTTCAAAAGATATGAATATTTAATGGAAAAATAATGACATGACTGCTTACCCTTTTATAAGAATTTGTTTAAAATTGATGGTAGATATATCTTATAATGAAGTTAGTCACTTCGTCAAATGAAACGAGGTCGGAACGTCTCCCAAACATGGTCAACAATTGGTCATTATCGTAAATACAAGATTGAACGTTGATCCGCGTTAGGCGAAGACCACTCTAATTTGATTCGCTCGACATGACTCAAGATGTAAGCGATTGGCGGGCTCAAATACTCAGTACATTTTTAAGTCTGTTTTAAGGCAAATAGTCGCAATTCAAAAGAAATTGCAAAATTCGTAACTACACAAGACATTTTACTTTAAACATTAAAAAAATTATAACAATGAAAGTGAAACATATTTCATAAGGTTTAAATTGTAAGTAGTTTTTGCTGGCGACTCCGTCTGCGCGAAATGAAAAAAAATAGTTGAATTTGTATGTCCAGACTACGCTCAACATTTATGGCAAATCTATCCATTTATATTAGTAAGATTTATAAACGTAAAAGTCTATTACTTAAATCTTGTATTTATCTCGATTTTTATTTATCATCTAACTGTACTCGATGTTTGTATTTTATTGCTTGAGACACCATTTATTAATTGAAATATCTTTGACGTTTTACCATACATGAGTAAATGTTTGACGTATTAATTATAAACCTCGTTTACCTTAAAATGTCGCGTTTATTTAAACTTTTTCTTTGCTAAACTGGTGGTTATCAATAACCAGGTATTATATAATGGTCCTATGATTTTGCACTCAATCATTTTATCCTATTTCAGAAACTCTAAAATAACAGACTTCATACTAATATTATAAATGTGAATATTTAGATGGATGGGTGGATGTTTGTTAAAGTTTGTAGCCTAAACGGCTGAACAGATTGCGACGAAATTTGGTGCAGATATAGAGGATAATCTAGAAGAACATATAGACTACTAACTTTCGTTTGTTTTTAGTTCCACGCGGACGAAGTCGCGGGCGAAAGTTAGTTATTCATACTATAAAACTTTATTATTATATGTACTTACGGTAAAGGAAAACGTGATGCAATCTGCACATATCAGCGAAGAAATTCAATCATATGAAAGTCAACCAACCCGCAATAGATCAGCGTGGTTGATTATTACAGTCACCCCTAAATTCTATAGGCTTTAAGCTCCTTGATGACAAAATACTTGTTTATCTTTGACACGTGTCTTGTTAAACCTAGAATGTTTTGCAGTTGAGTCAGTGGTCAAAGTGCAGATATCATGGACCAGTATCGAGACAACTTTGACCCCGCTGACGTGACGTGTCACTCAAAGTATGGCACGTTCACCGCGTCCGAGTGTCTCGCAAACTAACACTATCTAGTCTAGTCGTTCTAGGTCTTTAAATAGCACTTTATTGTCCATTTCTGATATCAACTACTGTTAGATATTTGAATAAACACTATCAATATAGATGGTCCCAGAGGAATCATACTACCGCTTTGACTACCGCTACCACTACCCATAGACATCCACAATTGCAGATGCGTTGCACATAAAGAGGATATTTCCCCTTCCCATGCGTCTCATC